TATTGTTTGTTTGTTTGTTTGTTTGTTTGTTTGTTTGTTTGTTTGTTTGTTTGTTTGTTTGTTTGTTTGTTTGTTTGTTTGTTTGTTTGTTTGTTTGTTTGTTTGTTGTTTGTTTGTTTGTTTGTTAAGATTGCACCTGTTAGGAACTGCATTTTCACAAAGTTCATTGACAAACAATGTTGTTAATTAATAAAAGCCTTATCATCTTGGACGCCAGAGCAAAACTGCTGTAAAACAAAGAGTCGATACTTGGTATTGAATTTGTAGTACACGATACTATTGGCAGCGGCACTGCCGTAACTGTATATCGATCCCAGAGAGAAACACGTGTAGTACAGATTGTGGTATCGTTTTCCGCTGCCGAACTCAGGGAAAATTTGGTGCATAGTAGCAATGACGATGATGACCAAACGGCTGGACACAAAAATGGCGGTCAGGACTGACACTAATTTCACGACTTGCAGCTCTTTAGAATTAAGGGCTGAGCCTGTGTGTTTGCCTGTAGGTCCTGGAGTAACTGTTTGTGTATTGTCACAGCGAAGTGCTGTTCCTGACGACTTCACTGCCAGCTTTATTGACGGTCTCGAAGTAGATGTCAGGGATGAGGAGTTTTGGTGTCGAAATTTTGACATCTTCTTCAAAGTGCGGACAAGAGAACTCAGACAGATAAAAGTAATGAACACACAAGTGTGGTGAAAGATGCTTAAGTTAAATATGTTGTGAAAGTCTAAAGCTTGTCTGTGTCCCTGTTTTGGCAAAATGAGGAGACGAGCCGACGAAGTGACATTATTTCCGTTGTTAAGGTACAACCAACGCACTTCCTGTGTGACAATGGTAGGTAAACTGACAGCGAGACTGACAGCGAACATGATGACCAACCCTTGGTGGGTGCGGCGAAGTGTGAAGAAATGTCTGAACTGTAGAGCCTTTGAGACGCAGCAGCACCGTGCTACAGCGATGAACATGTTGGTCACCAGAGACATGGTGTAGAAGATATGGTTATACCGATAAACATAAAGAGACAGGAGGAAAGGGTTAAACGACCAGGTGGAGGTCTCCACGTAAACGGTTAGTATTTGGAACACGCAGAGGAATGTGACGAAGAGAAACGAACAGAAGTCCGCTAAGGATAGCACGAAGAGCGACGTGCTCACAGGGTCGTTGAGACCCAGGCAGAAGAAAGCGAAGATGTTGAAAGCGTTAGTGATGAGGCCAGCTCCCGTCATTGCAGTGGATGTCCAGAGCTGGATCACCTGAAGATGGAAGTACGTCTCCGGGCTGATGAAACCTAATGCAGAGTCACTCTTCCCTGCGAGTTCAATATTATCATCTCTCTCACTCAATGTCACATTCAAAGCCATTCCTTATAAAGAAAGAATATTGTTCAAACTCCCCCGAAAGTTAATATTTGTTTAACTCCTATTGTCAAGTCGACGAGGTGGCTAGAGAAAAAGATACTTCCAGAAGAAAAGCCTGTCTATCTTGAACTATTCCCGTATTAAATAAAGCTGTCTACGACACGTTCAGTAGCTGTAACTTAATATAACTACTTCACGCCTTGACAAAGATGTTCTGCTTCTGCGGCGTGAAATTAGTATAGATTGAAAGACAAAGTAGATGTATAAGATCATAATAAGGTAGTTTTAGAAATGTCGTCCTTTTAACACAACGAGGCCTTTTTATTCGAGACTGACACCTGTACAAACAAGTATAGCTACTAACTGAAAGTTTAGTTCGATTGAATAATTACACCAGAATTTTCCTGTTAATGGTGCCTTTTCATTTACGAAAGAAGAAATAATTACTCAATTACATAATAATTTCAAGGCCAGAATGTAATGGGGGTACAATTTTATATTCTGGGTTGAAAAGCACACAAAGACAGTTGCTCCTACAGTCATCTACAAAAACAAAAGTATCAAACACAAACCAAACGCAAACCAAATACAAACTAAGTTGAGACGGAAATCACAAAGACATACTATGGTTCTCAAAGGTCAAGAACCATGAGAAAATTGTTAGCGATCTCAGAATAGATCATAAATCATTACTTTAATTGGCGTTCTAACTATCAAAAACGCGATTATACTCTTACTAAGTTTTCTATTTATGCTATTTTCCTAGTTCCACTAAGTCAAACAGATTAATTATTGTTGTCCTTCACAGAAGCCGGAGATGGTTTTTGCTTCAATGATCTGAGTTTATCTAGGTAATAATACGTTTTCCGCTGTCGATTCGAAATATATTTCTGCTAATTAATATCTCATTATAAACTATGAAGAACCACGCCATGCTGAACACTTGAAAGAATTTGGAATTGATTGAGGTTTCAGATAAAAATCAAAACAGCACGGGAAGGACAGGCGAACAACAAAATAATGGGATGGTTGTGGGTAATATAAGTCTTAGTACACCGATAGATAGCCCAGTCAGTGGACTTGTGAGCATAACGTACACTTGGATGGATCTGCCCGACGTATGTGGATCAAGGACGTCCACCTGCCACTTAGGGAACTCAGGTAACCTTGTATGAAAACATAGACAGCAACACGGCAGGATCCTGGGGAGAAATCGATGCAGACTATAAAGACCAAGCTGCCACTCCCCAAGAATTGGGACACGGGAGTTTTTCCAACTGTTCAATAACCATATCTGATCTTTGGCTTACTTTTTTGGGGGTTAAGAATACAAAAAAACATGGGGGTTTGAAAGCAACAGGATACTCTGAAACCATGTCTTGTGGGTAAATTAGGCAGCGGCTGCGCTTCGGTTTTAAGTGACTAAGAGTTCCTAACCGTACTCTTGTCTCATTTTTTTCAAGGTATTTTTATCTTAAAATCGCAGACAACAAGTATCTAGTAATATTTTAGGAGCTAAATTGAACTTTAAAACAACAGGAGTGATTCAGCAGTGGGTCCTTCCAAAGAAATAGGCCTTCGTTGCCAGTTTGATATGTTTTTCATAAACGATTTCTGCTGTCTGATATAAACATACACAGAAGACTTCGTACGAAAGGAATCTTTTAAAAAAGGGTTTGATGAAAAATGTGGTTGAGATTTTTATTCGTTTACTTTTAATCCACTGGAAACTTTACCCCAGGCTCTCCTTCTTCATAGGGACGTTCCGTTAACTGTGTTGGTTTAGCGCACCTCTCAATAATGTGTAAGGCAATTTAAGTGGTGACAATTCTACATTTATGATACATCTCCGATAGAACAGAGCCAAATTAGGGAGGGGGGAAAGAGAGAGAGAGAGAGAGAGAGATAATAGCCCCAAAAGCTGTCCCAAAACAAACCAAGTTCGGAACTCGCCGTTGGAGATTCGTACGAGGGCTATCTGATGCATGGTCCAGTATGATACCAGCTGAGATAGAACTGCTCAATAGAAAAGAAAGAAACATTTCCGAAAGAGCTACTGGTATCTGGAAGATGGAGAAGTATCAGAAGCAGGAGCGCCATCACCGACTAAGTCAACAACAGCAATAGCAGCAACCAGCAGTTAAAGCAGCAAAAGATGTAATAATTTAAAAATACGGCAATAGAAAAAATAGAAGCATAAATAATAACAACAGGAACATTTGCACCATGCCCTC